AAGGTTGTAGTTTGAGCCATTGTGGCTAATACTATCGATACATTGTTTTTCTTAGCCAATCACAAACCTGTTTAGTAACTTAGCAAATGAATGTACCTAACACAAGAGATCAGTTTATTTGTCAAATTCATGAAGTAACTAAAAAATTCTGATGTTCTTCTTTCTGTGTGTGATTATGTGTTTTTAAATGATTACCATTTTTTCGGTAATAAATGCTTTTAAATTTAAATTTCATTTTTACCAAAGTTGACATATTTTGTTGAAAGCAAACTACCGGTAATCTGTCGTTGACAACTTGTGGAAGCCAAACCCTACTTAATCAGCCTTGATGTATTTTTGAACACTTAATGACATTCATAAAAAGGTACAGGTGACACCACAGTGAACAAATAAATTGTTATTCCAGTATTTGAATACTTCCGTTAGATTTTTACACTGTATTTTCAGGGAAAACTGTCACAACTATCTGAGGTGTTTGGTAAACTTTTAAAAAACCTTGTAGTTTGACCATTTTGAGTGTGACGAACTACTCTAATTATATTAGTGTCTTAGTACTGATAACTGAATTGTGTATTTTTGAAACTTTTTTTTTTCATATTTTATTCATCAATTTACCATATTTTATTAATCGTAAATACAATAGACCCAATTTTATGATAGTTAACTTTAAATTATTTCTTTATTGCTCAAACCAAAAATCATTTCCAGCAATTCGCATACTACTTTATTGAAAGTGCTTTTGGAGTTGAGAAATTTAATTTTGATTTGTTACGGTGGCGCAATACAGTTTCACGAAAGTCTTGATAATTTTTAAAACTAATTTTTGAATAGATTGCTTCAATTGCTTTACAAGGTCATTTAAAAAAGGGGGGCACAGACCAAATTTTCCAGATAAGCTGTATATTAGACTCGGGGAGGGGGATAAAACATACGCCGTTCAAATCAAGGGCGAATATATGAATAGTCTGATAGAAAATCTAGAAAAGGAATAAATAAAAATTTGAAATAAAGTTATGCTAAGAGTGACGAGTCTGTGCAACACTTGCATCTTGTCAATAACTACCGCCCTCTATCGCACGCACAAGAAAACGAAAGTCCTATTCTTAACAACAGCAAATACAAATTTGATATGCCCATAGCCGAGAGTTGTAGTTTCAGAGGCGTTGTTGTCAGTGAACGGTTCCTTCATCCCTCGTTTCCGAATACCGGTTGCATTAGATGACTCATCCGAGCCCCTATTGATTGCTGTAGTGGCTGCCCTTTCGCTTTCAACATATTTAGGAGCGCTTATCGACGACATGGTCGGTCAAACTTGAACAGACACAGGATGTTATGGTAAGAGTACTGTCACCAAAACTAATATGATTGTGTTGCTTGGCGTGAACTAATCGCTACAGAGTACAGCATGCATTTATAATAGCGGAGTCAAATGTCTATACCTTTCGTATTATAGTGACTGAATTATTCTCAGTGAAACAGTCTAACTGCTGGGAATAAGCGTTTTATTTATACTCAAAGATTCTCTGGCATATTCCACAGTGAGAGGCCTCGCTGACATGTTGAAATTTAGATTTGACATAATGGGGCCCAATCTAGGGTGTCTGTCTTCATCCTTCGCACATATTCCGCACTTTCCCTGGGGCGACTGTTGTAAAAATAAAATTAAATATAGAAAATGTTGTTTACATAACACTCCCTGTGAAGGACTGTGTTTACATATTACCACATGCTTGGAATGCCTTTTTTAAAAAAAAAAAAAGATTTTTCAAAAAAATAATTATTTTTGTTGAATTGACACTTGTTGTTTTATCGTCACAATTTCTGTGTAGATCTATATCATCAATCAAACATTATGTTCTTTAGAAATAATTAATATAATCAACAACATTTTGCAAATGGTACATCCTTAGGGACGACGTCAAAAGATCGATGTCGGATAAAAAACTTAATTCTTTTAGTTTTTTCCCAAAACCCCCCACCCCCACTGAAACTTAATTGATAAATATTGAGCATGACATCAGACTACATTCACCATTAAATACAAATTGATAATCGGACAGTAGTATGGCATAGCAGTTGGTTGTAATAATGAAGCGGAATATACGCATGCGCAAACTACTTTCTGGGTTCTGGGATGCTCTAGGTCCATGCCCTGAAATTGACCTCATTTGACGCACATATTTACATTCGGACCAAACCATTTTCTCGTCTTGAATGTTTGTTTTTTTCACTTTATGTTATTTTTGTCTATGATTGGATAGAAAAAAACGAACTACAAATACTCCAAGGTTTTTTGAGTTCATTAAAAAAAATAAAATCGTTTTTGTAGGATGGAAATTTTTTGAGGCCAAACCCCCCACCCCCACCCCCAAACTAAAGCAAATAAGTTTTTTATTCGACATCGATCTTTTGACGTCGTCCCTTAGGCATAATGTTTAAAGCAGGAATTGAATCCCAACCGATGATGACAACACACGCTAAAAATGCAAAGGTTCATGGGTAGACGCTTGTTTGTAAACAATTACACTCCATCT